GGCCGATGCGCTCGCTTATTCGACGTAATGCCTCTTCGGCGAAGGGACACTTATCGCCGGCCGTGTCTCGGCCGACCCTGGCTCTCGACGCTGCCTTGCAAAGAGAACCCGTGGCTTCGATGTAAGGAGCTCGTTCGATTAGCGCTCAACGGAGCGGCTGGCTTCGGTTATGGTAAACAAGGAACGCCCACTCCAGTCTCTCTTTTCAACCCCCTTGTTTGTCCTGTTGCCTGACATTCGAATCAGTCAATCACTCTATCAATCAATCGTTTTTCCCAAGAATGAACTACAGAGAACATAAGCTGCTCAGCGCCTCATAAGAGAGATTTCGGCTACTCTGTGGGCTACTGCCCTTTAGGCTACTACTACCCTGTAGCCTACTAATCACATAGTTCCGAATCGTTGTCGTTATAACATTTAATTCATCGCGAAATGCGGCATTTTCTCGTCAGATGGCTCACTAAGCAGGGCCATAATTCTATCCGGGCTGCGCTGAATGGGCGTTCTCTCCCTCAACAATGCTATGTGAACTGTAGCGTCAGCCTTCAATACTGTCGCGTGCAACCCAACATGGTCATGTCCCTCCCCACATTCTTTTTTAATGGTGATTTTTTACCTTTTTAATACATATATTACCATTTTTATTGTGGTTAAGACCAAACCAGTTTCCAGTGCACCTGCTGCAACGAGATATAATTGACGCTTTTGTCTCTCCGTGACGTTGATTTGCACGTTTATATTTTGAGATAGGTTTTTCTAGGGTTGAAGCTCTTTATGGCGTGGCTTGTGCGTCCCCCTTTGTCGTAGTGCGTAACCTGTGGCACATACCCGCATACCAGTGGCACATACCCGTCTTCGGGCACATATCCGCATGTCCACATGTTACGAAAAACGTAGCACGGCGTCGTTATGACGCTTTCGGTGTTAACAAAGCGCTGACAGCAGAAATGTGGCACATACTCTCGTTTAGTTCTTGGGTTATCCGCTGGATGGCAGTGCTTGTATATAATGGATATATGATGAATAGAAGCGAAGTGGCGGTACTTGAAGTGTTGACTAAATGGACGGACGGACGCGCAGACGCACGCATGGATGGAAGGACGGACAGACGGGCACATGGACGCACGTACGGATGGACTGACGCATGGACGGACGCACGAACGGGTGCACGGATGGAAGCACGGACGGATTGACGAGCCGTGCGCCTACTCATCATTATTCATTCCGTGGATATGATGTGGTTTTTTTATTTTGCATGCATACTGATATGAAAGAAATGACCAGAAAAAATGAAAGAAAGGAAGAAAAAGGAAGAACAGATGCATCAACTTTTGGCACGCTGTACCATAGATTGCAACGTCTCAGCTGACAACCGCACTGATGGATCTTTCGACTTTCGTTATAGACTAGCGCGGTGGGTTCCCGGTCCCGTCGAAGCACTCCGGCCACATGCGCAATGTTTCAGCCACATGTGCAATGTCACTTGAAAAGCTGCACGCAGCTGACGTTTTTTATAATGTTCTGTGCACTGCTGTTCACTTGATGCTGCTTTCGAATTTCTTTCTATCTTCTCTATCAGCCGTGTGATCAGACAGCTAATGCGGATCTGGTATAAGCCTGGTCATCGTAACAGCTGCAGCGGTATGCTTCGCTTAACTGTGCATGCGCCTACAGCCGCCCAACAGTACGCCTACATCGCCACTCGCATTCTCATGAAGGGCATTTATTTATTTATTTATTTATTTATTTATTTATTTATTTATTTATTTATTTATTTATTTATTCATTTTCTCGAGCATCTAGGCAGCTCGAGAATCTATTTATTTTCTCGAGCATCTGTGAGCATCTATGAACAACTTTTTTTTTTCAATCCATGAAGTCATGTTTGAAAGCTAACCGAACATGTTAATACCGGCGTAATGCTTGAAGAATGTACAGAGAAGACACCGTGTTAGTACGTCATTCGCGCCTCGAGCAGTAAGCCAGTAAGAGCATGTCTTGCAAGCATAGGCACCGATTACTTCGAGCGCGAACACACGACACGATCACTCACACACGCACAAACCCTGAGAGTGTGCGTGTGTGAGTGATGGTGTCGTGTGTTCGCGCTCGAATTAACTTTTAGAAATGTTGTACCAACTAGCCCAACAACAAGTTCTTTTACAAGACACCAATTAGCTCATTGGAGAATGTCGTGTATGTGCGTCTTCGTTGCTAATGTCGCTGTAAGATCTTAATTCTGCCTGGAGGCACTGCGTGAGATGAGGACGCCATCTGACAGTAATGCCGGGAAACAGAAGCTTTTGTAGAACGTAGAACCATTGGTAGCTGGCAGCACCGTATACCGTCTTAGCGAAGCGTAGAAAACACCCGCTTTTCCGGGCGTGTACTGCCCCATTGTCAGCGCAGCGTTAGAAACGCTTGGATTCCTAGAATTACGTACCTAACACACCACCTATTACTTTAATCGTAGTGTTGTTGCACCTCATATATGCGTAATATTTGCTTTTTGATCCGCAATGTTCACAAGTATGAATGCAGTCACCAGATCAAGATGGTTAGGCGTTGAAAAAGTGCTGAATCATTTGGGTAGCTTAATTGTTTCGAGTGACAGACAGAAAGACACGGACAGACACGGATGGACGGACGGACGGACAGACAGACAGACAGACAGACAGACACACAGACAGACAGACCAGAATTTCTGCGTTGAAGTGTCTCTAGAAAAACTAAGTTGTATAACTTTTGTAAGCCTTTCGCACAGACCAGAATTTCTGCGTTGAAGTGTCTCTAGAAGGACTAAGTTGTATAACTTTTGTAAGCGCGAAAGGCACGCACATGGGACGAGCGAAAGGCACATGAAAAGCACTTGTCCCGAGTCCTTCGCTCGTCTTCCGTACGTGCCGATCGCGCTTACAAAAGTTGTGGATGAGTACCACTGGCTCTAACCCAGTGCCCTATAAGTTTTATAGTGTTAAGTTTCAATGTTATTGATTGCGGAAGCATATTTGTAAAGTTCCTATCTATGGTTCTCTGAAATCTGTTCTGAAAAGGCTCCCATCACTCTCAATGTGCACTGCCATCGTACTTCCGCTCCGCACTAGCATCGCCCCGCGCGTATACCGCCTCCTGTGGTCTCCTCTTCGATTGTGGCGCCCCTTTTCGAGACCCCAACGGAGCCCCTTGGGGTCTTGCCGCTCTCGTTGTAATCGCGACTCGCAAATGCGCTCCTATTTGAGCTCGCTGTGACCTTCGAGATGGAATCGCTTTGGAGGAAGGCGACCGCCAGCTGGGAAGGGCAACTTCGATGGTTATCTTACGCGCTGGCTTTTGACCCCGATCTGGGTCTCATCTGTGTCACCGCTGCGACCTTTTTCCGTGTTTGCGTTCGCCGATTACACTGTGAGACCGCGGTGATAGGGGGACTACTTGCTGCCATTATTGTCTATAGCTCATACCTCGGCGTATTATTCATTCCGTTGCTGTGTCTAGCGCGTGTGCCTGCCATAGGCACGCGCATGAATATGTGTGTGTGAGGGGGGAGGGGGGCAGGGGGATTTACCATTGCGTATTGTATTTGGCCTTATGCAAACAAGTACACTGTCTAGAAAGGAGACAACGGTTCAGTATATATATATATATATATATATATATATATATATATATATATATATATATATATGGACACACGCAGACTTGTGCCGCACTCTCCAATCACATAGTAGCCCGGGGAGTGGGGGATTTCGTCTCGTAGTGTCACTTAGTGGCTGCTTTCACGTCATTTCCATTTATGTGCAATATTATGGTTACAAATCTTTTTGACGGTAGTTGCGTCCAAAGGCTCCCGTTGTACATTGCTTAGTTACTGAAGACTAAAATCGGGCCATCGTGAAATCGCGTCATAGCTTCCTTTTAATTTTATTATACATTGTAATGTGAGTTGCCTTTTGGAGAGTCTGAACCAGAGAGGATGGCTGCAATGACCTCTTTCCCTCTCTCCTGATGGGGAACCTTGCACACGCCTGCGTTGGCCGACGAGTCCATTTGTTTTCGCTCCCCTTTGGGGTCCTCCTTTTGTCAGTATTACCTAGGTGTCCTATTTATCAGCGTCTCTCTCACTCTATCTCATTCTGAAGCGCTGATTTATCTTGCTTCGTGGCTGCGCCTGTCTCCCGCATTCCTGGTTCCCCTCTGTCATTCTTCTCTTTGTCTCAGGAGCGTCTTATCGGTTTCTCCATGGGTTGGCGTTCACGTAGATCCGTTATCTATCTGGCTCGTTTATTGTTCGTCGTGACGCTTGTACATGTGCCTATTCGCCCCGTAATCTTTGTGGGTTGTCTCGCCTGGATTGTGACTCGGTTTGGCTCGATGCGTGCCCCGAGTCATTTGTCCTATTTGTTATTATCGTGCGGTCACGTTCATGCGCGACACCGCGTTAGGTCGCACGTTGTACACAAGCGCGTCGTGTCTGTTCAATGATTGTGTGGCGTGTGTAATCTGACGGTTCTGCTAACTCAAGTGCGCTCCATCATTCAGATTTTGTAGTTTTCGTATGCCTATGCAATTTTACGTGTGCAGATGTACACGCGTTCGTACACATAACTGTAAACACACGCACGAACATGTACAAAGTGCAGTTTAACACATCCTTAACCTTCATCTCTCCTCCACCCTCTTCTCCCACGCACACACACACACGAAATAAAGTTGGTTACGGCCCTGGTTTTCGATAACACGATACAATGGAAACGGAGAAATGTTTACTGAAGAATACGAAACATGTATTGACCTAATGTTAATATAAATTTGAGTGGTTTAAACTCGTCTCAAGCGCAGTTCAAGTTCACGAGCCAGAACTGTCTACCGCGTTCTCCACTTCTATAGTCTTATCGTGTTTGTGTGGGCGTACAGCACCGTGGAGCTCGTTTTTGTACCCTTTCGCGCTGTGCCTGCAACTGTTGTTGCCTATAATCGCTCATTTTCCTTTTTTTTTCTGCCAGTTGGCGGCCTGCAGCGCAATGGGACCCTGCGGTCGAGCACCATCAAGAAAGTGGCGCCACCGGTGGTTCCGGACAGTGGCTCTGCGGCCTCGACAGGCAGGCGCCACTCTTCGTCCTCCGCCTGCACCACCCCCGTGCACCAGCTGCACTCTCCACCGCTGTACGGATCGTCGTCCGAAGAGCCGCCGCCGTCGCCCACCGCCTACGGTGAGTGGACGAGGCGGATATATTGTCACGTCTTTATTCGGGGGTCCAACAGCTGCGCCAGTGTGATACAATTCACCATTTTCGCGCTGATCTATGCCAAAACCACGAAATTTGCTGAAATTGTGCCACGCTGCGCCAAAACGCCCGACCAGCCCCAAGATTTTCTCAGCGGAGCTCATTTCAGCGAGAAATGGAAGCCACGTTGTCCACCTGTAGTTTGAGTCATCAGTCAATCCGGGCGCGCAGACCTTAAACAACGGTAACCTAACGACGGTAGCGTTAAAACATGGTAACCTTAATCCCGTTAGGCCAGGGCACTCGCGAGACGCAATCGACCAGATAAAGTAACAAAGCCGTGCGCCCATTGGTCCGCTGACCGCAGCGGATACGTATCGGCCGGACGACGCAACTTCAAGACAAAAATGCGTCGCCGTAGCCACCAACGATTCGCGGGAAATACGGGGTTTCCTAGTCGGCGAAAGCGGCTATGGCGTGTTAGCAACTGAAGCCGGGAGTGCATACTGCGTCAGCGCCTTCTCTAGAAAGATGCCTGCTACTTGAGCCGAAAAGCTGGTTCCCCGCCCTCTCCTGTTGTCTCCTCCTCCGCTGCCGAAACAGTGTCGGCGTTGAGTGCTCGCTGCGGCGGCCGCTTCAAACCTTGCCGCTGCTGAGAATAGAGCAATGTCTACTGCCGTCTCGGAGGCATCACGGTCGTGTCTTTGTGATAGCGTCACTTCCGAATCGAGCGGAAGTAGTGGCTGGATGGATGGATGGATGGATGGATGGATGGATGGATGGATGGATGGATGGATGCGGATGTGCCCTTTAGATTGGTTGGTGGCTTATGCCACCTAGCCATAAAGTTAAGTACTATCACTGTGTGTTTGAGGATTTATTTTCACTCGCGCCTCGATTGTAGCCACCAATAAGTTAGCCTCATCCTAGTTATTTCTAGCCGTTTAAAGTCTATTTTGCGTTCACTGTCCCTAGTAGTGTCGGCTGCGAGCGCTTCTTGCGGAGAAAACACTGAACTGCGAGGAACTTCCCGTCCCCATAGGAAAGCGTGCGATGTCGCAGGCATCTTTCTAGGGGAGGTGGTGACTGCGTTTTGCACGCGTGAGGAGTCGACGTGCTGCGAACGCTGGCGTTGCCGTCGCCCACGTTGGTCGCCAAAGTAACGGCTCAAAAAAAAAAAAATTTTTTTTCCTACTTGCAGGTGCGTTAGTTTCGTCGTCCAGGCCATAGATATCCGGTGCTGTCGCCGCACACCTGGGCGCGCGCCGTTGTTACCTTATCGTGTGAAACGCGCCTTGCAAGTGAACCCAGATGTTGTGCCCTAAATCTAACCCATCGTAAAAATGAGAGAATAAAAACAATGAGTGGAGAGGGGGCGTAGCGCTGTGCGAAAATTTTCTTGCCTTGTTCTGTAACCCGTACAGAATGCTGCCTAAACTACGTTCGCCGCCGTACTGTGGTGCACTGCAGAAAAACGTATTATGATTTGGAAGGGGCTACTTGTGGGATACAGCACATTTCGTTTACTGATGCGTGTATGTTACCGCGTTATTTTGAGCACTAGGATGAATGCTGACGTCCGAAAAAAAGTTGCTGGCAATCATTTGGAGCAGTGTATGACACTTCTGTGGCCCGTAAAAAAAGTGCTGAAGTGGCGTTCAGCGTCCGGCGCCAACGGGAACGCTGGCGAAATAATGTGGTGACGTGATCTTGTGGCGTCACAGACAGGCAAAATTTGTGAAATCGCGATGTGACGTTTTCATGACGCCCTATGGTGAAAGGTGACTGCCATCAAAAGCGTGTACTTATTAGAATGCACCGGGGACTGTGCGAGTTTTTGCAGAGCTAAGAAGATTACCATGCCAGAAATGTTAGATTGCGCATATTAAAAAAAAAAAAAAAACTCGACGTTTTTACCGACGGTGAGATTGACGACCATTGACAGCCATGTTGACCGCTGCCGTTGAACTGTGGGAGTCTGCGCTTTGATCGTTTCTTTGGCCTGGTAAAAGTTCGCATAATGTCACCAAATCGTAGGACAGTTCGATCGCTTCGTTGTTCAACGTCATGACCCGCGAGAACACGTTTCTATACGTATTTTTCAACGAGCAGGCAGGCGTTGTATAGACGGAAGTGAACGAGATATTCCTAGCTTTTTCGATTCACCCTTAAAGTATACGAATTCTCGAAGAAAATGTGCATTGAAAAAAAAAAAAAGTATTGATAACTCTAGACGCCTCCAAAGACGATCTGGAGCGGAGGTGCTTATCCAAGTAACCCTGGCAGCGCACTGGTGCCTTCTTCGGTTGTTGGTATTTCGATCAAATTTCGAGCACCGCCCATGTGGAGTGGGCCGACGCCTTCGCGCAGGAAAGTGATTTATCTCCCGCACCGCGCGCTGTTTCTTGTTTCGCGAAGACTGCAAGAGGAAGACAAAAAGTGTAATAACATAAAGCAAGATAAATAAAAGTGACGAGGAACGCTTTTGCGGGATGCATGGACGAAATTTGTGCAACGTGGACTGGAAGTTCTGTCACCTTGTTGGCGCAGCGACTGTCTGCCTATATTTTCATTCTCAATCACTGTAAACTTCGGTGTACTAAGTCGAATCGCAACTGCGCCTTGGACTTCCAGTCATTGGCATAACAAATATCGCGGAGAGCAAACTAGAGCGGCCATAGAGTTTCATACAATAATACCTAGAGGGGAATCTGGCGCTAGTGTCTACGAAGGCTCTTTCACTGGCGCTTGTACCCCCATGGGAATTATGGGAAGTACAGGCTTCGGATTTGTTTCGGATGGATCACGTTCTTGAGATTCGCGACGCTTGTTTGCTGAGTGTAAAAAAAAAAAGTGATATGAAGGTATGTCTAATTGAAACTCGCTTTATTTTTTTGTACGCAAACTTTATTGCAAAATGCTTTTGTGACTAGGCGGTAGAAGTGTAACCCGGACAAATTTACCACCAGGGCATGCATTGTTCTGCCGTTGCGTTCCAGATTTGGCATCAAAATGTAATGAATTATTCTTTACAACATTTCAAAACAAACATTCTTGTTTTGCCCTCGAAAATACGCAATATCTATTTATAGAAATAACAACCCAGTATTAAGTGAGAAACACTTAACGTTTTGTCTGCTGCGATACCTGCGATACCAGGTGCGTCTGTTCAAGTGGTCTGCCCCAAACGCACCTCTCTTTTTGTTGTGAAGTTGAATCAGAAGAGCGTGGCGGTGCGTCTACGTCGCGTTGCCGTCGTTTTGCAGTTGATTTCAACGAGTATTGGTTAGACGCACTAACAACAAACGTTAACTCGATGTAATATCCTGCACTGGCATGGGACGCTACTTTTATGCGCAGCGGTTAGTGGACGACGCTTCGCTTAAACTGTCAAACTGGATTTATACAGCCCCAGCGTTGCAGTAAATTGAGAGCCCTAGCAGTTGTCAGCTTCTTTAAACAACAAGAGCATAGCTTCAGTCCTTTCCACCCACCCCACTATCCGCGCTGCGCGAAGAACGAAACTGAAACTGTTGAAAAAGATCCGTAGACAATGCGCTGGCTAATGCGATCCAATCCGAAGCCTGTACTTCCCATAATTCCCATGAGGGCACACGATCTCTGCGCCAGATTCCTCTCTAGGTATTATTGTATGAAACTCTATGGGAGCGGCAGTCAAACTATTTTTTTTTTTTCAAAAAGTGGCTATTAGTTCTGAACAACTAAAAAAAAATTGGCCCAGTATCTGCACGTAATCTGCAAATGTCGTCGAAAGACGGCAGTCTTGCGTGTGGAGAGTGTGAACAAGACATTTATTTGATGTTCTGCGCAAGAAAATCGGTGAATGGTATTCTGGAGGCGCTGCGTTAGAGTGCCTCGAGCGTGTAGCGGAGGCGAACAAGCGCATCTAGTCACGTCACACGTGAGACATGAGCGCCATCTGGCAGTTGTTTTAGAAAACAAAACGCGTGGCACTGAGACGGGTGTGCGCGCCCATCTGAGAGGTGATGAGGTGTAGATCGCAAGACGACGGGTAGGTGCCACCACCGTTTTGTTTTAGCAAAGCGTTGGAAACTCTCGCCTTTCCGTGCAAGCGTTGCTTGGTCAGCGCAGCGTTATAAGCGCTACGGTCCTTAAAATTGCTTATGTATGCCTTTTCTAGTAAAATACGCACATGCAGAATATATACGTGTCGTTACGGTGCCCCAGACGTGCGCAGTGATTGCTTTTCAATTGACAATTGCACAAGTATGAACGTGGAACCTTGAGCAACATTGGTGGGCACTGCGGACGGGGTCGGCCGTTTCAAGTACCCGGTGCTGTTAAGAGGAGACGGACAGACGGACGGACGGACGGACGGACGGACGGACGGACGGACGGACGGACGGACAAAAATTTTTCCGTCGGAGGTCTTCAAGAAAGACTATCGTCTTTAAAATGACGCTTGAAGGCCGCTGTTCTAGCTCGCGTGTTTCGTACAGAATAGGCGCCCTGTCTTGTCATTTTTCAGTCTCGCCAAGCAATCCGAGTATGGAACCCATGACGTCTCTCGTCCTGAGTTTGCCAGTAACCAAGCAGCTTGCCTTATTGGACTTCCTCATCGTGCATGACCGGAGCCTTCGTGAAATTTTCGTCTGCTCGTTTCCGTGAGTGTTTGAGTGGTCTCCTTTCACTGAGCCATTGTGGTCATCCCACCACGTTACCGTGTACGCTATGAGGGACCGACAACCAGTTTTTACGGGATATCTATTTTGTTTAGAGCAACAGAAAGCTTAGCGGTCAGAGCGTCTAACCACGGGATTTGTCGCCGGCAGGTCCACTTTGTCCACGCTACAATTGTTGCTAATAACGTCCGCTATAGCTTCTTCGCTATCATTGTCTGTTAGTTCTCCCTAATATGTTGTCTAACAAACAAACCCAGCCTTTACACTTCTTTCGTTTAACCTCGAAACGGTAACGTGGAAAACACCGGGAAGCATTTGTAA